TACTGTTGATTTGTATTATTTTGTTTATAAAATCAATATGAAGATCGTCGTGTAAAGTTTTGTTACTAACAAACCACGGAGCATCAGTAATCTGCCTCAATATTTTCGATTGGGCACGTTGCATTAACGCTATATTGGATTTGCTTGCACAGCTCCACAATTCAATGCCATAAGTCCATATGGATTAGTGGATATGAAACAATAAATATAAGTATGTACATGGTTTTCTACCCTAAGGGTATGTTTCATTTCCAACATTTGTTTCTATTTCTATAAGTAACCACAATTAAATTGACAAAATGTATAAGTATAAATGTAAAAGAAAAATTGTTATCAGTTTTCCAAAAAAAATATTACGTATAGAGTTATATTCCAAAATATTTATTAGCCATTATGAGACGATCAGGTTATAGTATGGCATGCCATTATTTGTTTTTTTTTTTAAATAAACTTTTGCAAATATTAAACTTAGTTTTAACAAATACAATTGTAAGTTTTGTCTGATACAGTTCAGGACAAATTAACTTGTATTGATTTGCAAAGATTTAATTTATTGTAGCGGTTTTTAGATGCTTTTTTCACATTATAAATTATGTCATTCATAAACAGTACTACAAGAAGTGTTACTGAATATTCAAAAAAGGAGACGATGCTTTGAAATAAATTTCTAAAAATCATTTATACATATCGAGAACCAGATTTTTCATCATTTATCTAAAATATACAGCGAGATAAGTACAAAAAATCGTTACTCACAAGGAGAACCTCAGATTAATTCTTTTGGATTTTTGCATGGCGATAGAGTTGATAGTCAAACCGAACACCTTAAAATATTAAAGGCCTATGACCAACGATTCAATTACAAAAATTAATTAAAATTTAAAAAATCGGATGCGCGCGAAATATTTACTTACAAGGAGAACCTCAGATTTACTCTTCTGGTATTTTAATGAAACTTCGCATGGCGATAGACTAGATCGTCAGCCTTAAAATATTATATTTTACAAGCGATTTAATTATAAGATTTAATTATAAAAATTAATTTAAAAATGTTTCGGTATCTCATTGGGTTAATGAGAGATACTATAATTTTTTTATATGATTATTTTAAAAATAAAGGATAAGTTTGATTTATAGAGTAGAACTCAGTAAAACTTTTTTTATGCAAAACACGCCTTCTTACGTTGAACTTTGCACTTTCAAAAATATTGTTACCAACTCTGTATACAATTCTGTTTTTGATTTGTTCCTGAGTAAATCTTCTTATTCGAGTTTCACTTTATAATTATCTATACATAAAACATTTTGAACAATAATCAATAAATATTGAACATAACGTTTAATGTTATAATTTATTTATTTAATAACAAGTTTTTTCTACATTTTTATTTTTTAATAATTCAAACTATTTTTTAATAATATTTTTTTTAATAATGAATTATGTACTTATTTTTGTAATTAGTAAATTTACAATTCTACAATTGTACAATTTTCAAATAAGTAAAATCTGCGTGTAATTATTTGTATATGAAGAGGGCGCTAGATACAAAAGTTCCTATATATCATAATACAATATTTGTGTTTGTATGAGTAAACATATTTCATTATGCATATATACTTAAGCCGTAATGTTGAAGAAAATGATTGTTATCTAATATTTCTGTAACAAAAAATCCGACACAAGAACTATTATTCTCGCAGTCGAATGGAAGAATCTGAGCTTCTCCCTTTTCACGGAAACTTTTTCTTTGTTTGCCGAACATCGGCGCATGGAAACAAACAGAACTGACAGTAAAGCAACTAACATATAGAGAATCGAGGAGATTCCTATCAAAAGCTTTTTATTTAACCGCATACATCCTGCTGTCGTTCATACAGCGGTAATGTTTTACATATGAGAGAGGCCAATCAATATATGGAATATAAATGAATAACCTCATAAACCGAATAGATATCTATATGGGATTATATTGAAATGATTTGATGGCGTCTCAAGGTTACATTTAAACATCATTTTCGTTACTTGCATAACAATGCATTGGCTAGTTGGTTATATTATGTTGCAACTTGTGAAAATGGAAAAAGTATTACGTAACACTGCATAATGCAGTAGAAAATAGTTATCATATATACAAACACACTCATAAGCGCACACGTAAATGTATAAATTACTTTTGTTTTGAGAACAAAATATGATCCATCATAGATAAACTATTTAGTCTATTTAAAACTCACCTATATTATATAAGCGCTATTTTGAAATTCATTATTAAACTAAACTAATTTTTAAATAAATTTATATGAAACATAACGTCTGATTTAAGTGACTTACAAATCATTTCACTTGGATTGGCGGAATGAGGATATGTTAAAATTTTTGTGGAGGCAGGTTAAAAAATATTAAAAAATATATCTTCTATTGATCAGAAATAATAACTAAAATACACATTCAATTATCAGATCTTTTATATACATTTTATCAGTAAGTACAAATTTTGTTTCAAATTCTAGAGTTCCGTACCAAGATTTGCTATGTTTTAAGGTCACTTAACTAGTTCAACCAAATGTCCTCGACTTGATTAGGTTTAAAAAAATTTTAAAATGACGATATTTAAAAAAAAATAAAACTTTCTAAACTATTTTTTCCAAAAATTTAAATTTTTTTTTTAAATTTAAATATTTTGTCCAAATTTTTTGTTCTTTAAAAAACTCGATGCTTTCAACATTTTGAAAACAAATAAAAAATCACAAAAAAGTCTATATTTTGAACATTTTTAAGCTTTTAAAAATTTGAAAAAAAAGGGTTTGTGATAGTTCAATAAAAAATTCAAATAATTAAAAATGATTTAAATGTACCAATGTACCAATTAAATACTTTATTATCATGTGAAAAACAGAATCATTGCTCTGCTAATTTCCTTTTCTATGATTCACCAAAAATTCTCATAATTATCGGAATAGAGTCCCATATAAAACGTGCGATTTAAATCACAAGTGCAGACATTTACTTTGTTTAAATGTAGAGTTATCTTCAAAATAAACATATAACTTTCGAGAATGTGGAATATATTCCCAGAAAAGAGTTGTTATATACTAGGGCAATATCGAAGTAGAAGGGTGGTGACCGAAAACTTTTCCGCTTTCTTTTTGCGGAACATATCGTTTAACATATAGGAAGATAATACCATAACTTCGAACTCTGACCTCCGCCTTGAGAATAATATACTTATTGAATTTGTTATATATTACTGTTGCTAAACTCCCTAAATGATTTTGAATATTTATTAGTGTTTCTAAAATATAATACTATAACTAAATCTAATAAAATTTAGGAAAAAATGGGTTTCACATTTGAATCTGGAGAAATATTCGATGGCTCTATGATGTACCTATAGAGAATAACAAAAGAGTAATTAGTAGAGACATGGTAGTGAATATAGAGACAATATAAGAGACAATATATTAAGGCCAAAAATGTAATAAAAATTTATTACTGTTAATAAAAAACTAATATGGATAGTCAGATTTACCATATTTGTATATATTTAGAATGTAATAGCTCAATAATTAATATGTCAAATAAACAAAATATTTAAACAATCTTTGAATACATATATATCTTTGTATGATCTCGTTCACATATTTTCTCTCTTATAGTATTCTACGAATAATATCATTTAAAATTTTATAATATTGCTCGAATATTATAATTCAAAAGTATTCATGTGATATGCTTCATATAACTGCTCCCAAAAGACACTTATAATAAACTCGATGAAATTATGTTTATTTTTGATAATAAAAGTAGAATTTATAACCATGCAGTTTATTACTTTAGATCTGCAATTTTAATTATGATATCATAATTTTCATTCTGATATTTTACGATAAAATATATGCATTATCTAATTTTCATAGGTTTTTTATTGCATGCAAGATATCTATTAGTATATAACATGCATTAAGTATAGAAAATCTTTTCCCACAATTCTAAGTTTACTACATGATTATAGTTATCTAAAGTTTATATGTTTGCTTTGAAAAATAATTACTTAACCACAGCATCAAGGACTTTGTAAAACTTTCCAAACACATTACCAAAATGCATTAAAAATTTAAGATTGAAGTTTACATAAATATTGATAATGTGAATTTGTGGTTTTAAGTACATGGTACTAATCTTATTGGAAGTTTTCACAAGATAATTTGACAATCAACATTACTTTTATTTATTTTTTCACAGAAAATTTAAAATGCATTTCAAATTTTATTTTAATTATTTGTATCAAACTTATTATGAAATATTTACTTAGTACAGGACAACATATTGACGTCAAGCTAAAACAGGGTTATAGTATTGACCTTGGCTTTCCTAGTTAAGGTTTGCTAGGTCAATACTGTATATGTAAGGTAGGAAGAAAAAAATTATGAAAAAAATCTCACTCTGGAAATTATGATATTATGTTTTAAGAGCAACCTATAGCAAATTAATAAAAGTTAACCACAATAACCGAAAAATGGTCATAACTTCACCAGAACTCTGGGTTGCACTCAATGTACATACGTGAAATAAACATTTTTTAAATAAACATCTGGTAATAAATTGATCATGAAGATCAATTTTAAATAAATGCAGATCTTCAATATTTCTGGTACTTTGTTTGTTTCTAAAGATTATTAATTATAAATTTAAGAAGAATAACAAGAGCTTTTTAGTTTCATTTTAATCACATGACAGATCAATACCACTTGTGTAAGGTTCAGTATGAAAATGCGGTTTTATTGGTCCACAAAATACAAGCCCTAACACTTATACTACCGTCATACTATTATCTGAGAGTCCAATGAGTTTATTTTCATTCCTACCAGCCAGCAAGTCTATACTTACAAATTTTTAAACTGAAGGTATCAATACAATTTATTAAAACATTCCCATGCAGTACATAAAATCAATCAATCAATTTATACATGACTTTTTCATTATTATTTTATTTTTTTTATTAATAACTGAATTCTTTTTCAGTGTCGGTTTGATAGCTTGTTATAGATAATGTGCTGCTAGAGCTCACAGTGATCGCATTACCATCGGGCAACACCACAAATACTGTTTCTGATGTATCTGGTATTTCACACATTGGCTGCGGTTGCAAAGCCATAACTTCATATGTTCTTGACTCATCACTAAATATATTGACTCTAGTTAATGCCCACATAGTTTGCATCTGCAAAAATTACACAAATTTCATTACGTTGGTAAAGAAACATTTTTACTTCATTTGTGTACCTCAGGGAGAGAAGGTTTACTTGAAACACATCGACATGCACATTTGCACAATCTTTTACTTATTTTGGATATATCAGTAGTTCTTGAACATTTTCGATTTTCTTGATATAGATTCCAAAGACGGCTCAGAGTCGTATTCCAGCTATCATAATAATAATATTTAATGGAACAATGAAATATATTTCAAGTGATTCAATAAATGGTAATAGTAAAAAAATAAACAAGGAAGAAAAAGGTATCATCGGTTTGTGGTGCTCTCACACCATGAACCTCTCTTCGGACAGACTACAGTTTTTTACTATTATTAAAGCCAAAAAGAATGGCTTGCATTCTATGATGAAAACAGTTTTAAAAAGTAATATTTTTTTCATTTACTACAAATCTTACCGTTTCACTATCATCAAAATTTGAACGATGATAGTAAGTACAACAAGAGCACCTGCATAGTTTTCTACTTCGATGTGAGCATGTACAAGACCATTTACTTTGAGTACTCTGTGATTTTGATTTTTCAGACCATCTTGTTTTATTTTTGGTTTTTGATTCTCTTCGGTGCTTTTTTTCTTCAATATGAACGCTTTTCTAAAAAAAATAATTTGATCTCACCATAATTAAAGCTGTAAGGAGGAACAGACTATTGATGAATAAAAATATATCTTGCTGTTTGCAAAATATACTTTTTTCTTATTTCATTTTTAGGAAAATCTGCTATTATCAGACAAGCTTAATTGAATCAAAACAATATAGAATAGCATATTGCAAATATACTTTGTTATCTTCTTTTTCTTTTATTTTTGGTGCAACATATTGACAACCACAATCAAGAGACCACTGGCAGGACTGATCGCTCTTTTCCACTTTTGATTTGGTAGAATGTTTTTTTCTTCCCTCTTTTATAGGAACAAACTGTTGATGAATAAAAATATATCTTGCTGTTTGAAAACTTTACTTTTTTCTTATTTCATTTTTAGGAAAATCTGCTATTATTAGACAAGCTTAATTGAATCAAAACAATATATAATAGCATATTGCAAATATACTTTATTATCTTCTTTTTCTTCTATTTTTGGTGCAACATATTGACAACTAGAATCAAGTGACCACTGGCAGGACTGATCGCTCTTTTCCACTTTTGATCTGGTAGAATGTTTTTTTCTTCCCTCTTTCATAGGAACAGACTGTTGATGAATAAAAATATATCTTGCTGTTTGCAAAATATACTTTTTTTATTTCATTTTTAGGAAAATCTGCTATTATCAGACAAGCTTAATTGAATCAAAACAATATAGAATAACATATTGCAAATATACTTTGTTATCTTCTTCTTCTTCTATTTCTGGTGCAACATATTGACAACTAGAATCAATCAACCACTGGCAGGACTTATCGCTCTTTTCCACTTTTGGTCTGGTAGAATGTTTTTTTCTTCCCTGTTTTATAGTTTTATCTTCATGTCTATGTTTCTTACGTTTTTTCTTTTCCTGATCTTTGTCCTGTCGAAAATGTAAAACTTGGATTAGCAATATAAATGACAAACATTTTATGATTATAAATTTTACTTGATCCAGATTGATGAAAAAATCATTTGTGGACGTTGACGTTTCATTTTTCAAATGATATGGACACTTTATGTGGCAATTGTATGAAAATTGTGGCTCAAAAGTTCGTGGTTTTTTCTGAGGCATTTCAACAGGCTCTGATTTAGGTGGGTAAGTAGACTTGATGGAAGGAGAAAGACAACATGGAGGAGAGGGTGTAATGTCCTCCATTGATTCTCTTCTAATACTTGTTTGCAATGGAGGAAGACCGCGTTGTTCAGTTCCAAAAGGTAGTTTTACGTACTCGGACATCGGAGGTGAGATTTCTTGGATTATTTCTTCCTCAACAGTATCGGGAGGTGGAACGTCAGTAATCGGCAATTGTACAGGTGGCTGGATAGACTCCCGTGATCGAGGAGGCTTTATTACTTCAATTTTGAGTGATGGAGGTCGCGTTGGTGCTGGCTCATATCTGAAATGCATATATTAATAATGAATTTAATACTAAGATTGTTATCTATTAGTTGTAATATAACACTACACATATACGTGTTTTGTGGAGTTTCAAATTCGCATTTTTCTTCATATTGTTTGAACACAATTTGATTAAATTTGGATATTATATCATTATTTGAAGTTTGAATATTTAACATTTATATCTATGTATATACAAATAAATAGCTTGAAGCATACATACAGATTTTCTTTGCTCGTCATTTTCGCAAAATGTGAGGTTTTAAAAGAATCTATTCGCATATTGCTTTCACGTTTTACACTGGGCACAGGGGGTGGCGGCGAAGGAGATTCTTGTTTCCGTGGCGCATATTGCTTCCTTGTCAACATTGGTTTTTCTGATTTTGTCATATTTTCGTCATGATGATGTCTTGATGCGCTGCGTACTGGAGATTCTACGGCAGATAATGAACGCGTAGATGTCGCAACAGCGAGCTTGTTGGAAGACGTTTGCTGAATTGTATCGGTATGTTTGTTCCGCGCTACTATTAAATAAATATATAATATATTAATATATTAAAACATTTTAGTTATATACCATCACAGTTGTTTTAGAACAATGTCGTTATCATTAATTTCATGCTGGTTTCCGAATTGGTAGCAATTTATTCTTAATATATATATATATATATATATATATATATATATATATATATATATATATAGTGATGTGCCGACTCGAAAATTTCCTGATTCGAGTGATTCGAATCAGAAAAAAACCTGATTCGAATCATGATCAAGTTCATATATGAACAATTATAATTTAAGAGAAGAAATAATATCATTTTAATAAGTTTATAAGTGAAATAATTAATTTAGTAAGCAATTAATTCCAAAAAGTGCAGAGATGAATACATTTACATTATATATATAATAATAAACTAGCTATAAATATAACTAATATTTCAAGTGAATTTACAGTAAAATATAACCAAACACTTCTCTATCACTAAAGCATATAACACAATATTCTTAATCTTACGTAGAACGAATGCATGTGTATATTATTGATTGTTTAGATCTAATCTAAACAGGGGGCTGAATCTAACGTCTTACGAATTATACGAAAATTCAATCCACTACTGTAAAGATTGATATTATTTCATTTGTGTGAATTTGCCATTACTTGCAAAATTAAAATATGATAATTTTGTATGTGTATAAAACTCGTTGGGTAGTTTATCTTGATAATAATTAAAATTTAAATCGCGTATTTATTATCTAAATGAGTTTTTAATATTACATGAACAAATTTGCTCTCATTAGTCAAAAATAAACAAACACTCAAGACCCATACGCACTGTATCTCGATAAGTCGATACGCTAAAACACGGACACATGTTTCGAACTCAAGTCGGAATGAGTCGGTTTGAGTCATAGGAACTCGGATGAATTCATATCGACTTGAAGTCGAAATGAGTCGGTTTGAGTCATAGGAACTCGGATGAATTCATATCGACTTGAAGTCGAAATGAGTCGGTTTGAGTCATAGGAACTTGGATGAATTCATATCGACTTGAAGTCGAAATGAGTCGGTTTGAGTCATAGGAACTCGGATGAATTCATATCGAATTGAAGTCGAAATGAGTCGGTTTGAGTTATAGGAACTCGGATGAATTCAAATCGACTTGAAGTCGAAATGAGCCGGTTTTGGTCATATGGAGTCGGATGGTATTGTTAGACAATGAATGCGGTTAAAGTCATATAAATTGGAGTCGGGTGACACATTTAAGCGTATTAAAGCCGGGTGACTCGCATGATTTAATTCAAGATTTATTTTTTATATTTATTATTATTATTTTTTATATTTATTATTATTATTATTTATATTATTACAATAATGAATTAAATTAAAACATTTTTTTATATTATAAAAATTTGTGCTCATACATGTTTTATCACAGTAAATATTTCGTGGCTTGATATGAGTTGATTCGAATCAAGTAAAATCAGATTCGAATCAAGTCGTTAAAGGCTTGATTCGAATGATTCGAATCACTTGATTCGACTTGGCACATCACTAATATATATATATATATATATATATATATATATATACAAATGTTTATGTATTTATATATTTATTTCCAAATTGATGAGGATCTTCTCCTTACTCTATCAACAGAATGACTATTGATCTATTCTATTTTCAAACAATATTTTAGTATTTTATGAAGATATATATATAATATATATATATATATATATATATATATATATATATATATATTGAAGATATATATATTTATATATATATATATATATATAGATATATATATATATATATATATATATATATATAATTTTTTGTGTTTACATTTGCAATACAAATTTTGAACTTTATATAGCTGATAATAAACTTTGTAAAATATTTACCTGCTAAATCATCGTCATCGTGTGAAAATTGTGGCTCAAAAGTTTGTGATGGAGGTGGTTTTATCTGAGGCATTCAACAGGCTCAGATTTAGGTTCATGAGTAGACTTGATGGAAGGTGAAAGACAACATGAAGAAGATGGTGTAATGTCCTTCATTGATTCTCTTCTAATACTTGTTTGCAAAGGTGGAAGATCACGTTGTTCAGTTCCAAATGGTAGTTCTTCGTACTCGGACATTGGAGGTGATATTTCTTGGATTATTTCTTCCTCAACAGTATCGGGAGGTGGAACCATCATTTTTAATTGTTCAGGTGGCTCGGTAGTCTCCCGCGATTGAGGAGGCTTTATTACTTCAATTTTAAGTGATGGAGGTCGCGTTGGTGCTGGTTCATATCTGAAATATATATATATATAATAATAAATTTAATACTAGGATTGTTATCTATTTGTTGTAATATAACACTATACATATATGTGTTTTGTCGAGTTTCAAATTCGCATTTTTCTTCACATTGTTTAAACACAATTTGATTAAATTTGGATATATCATTATTTAAATTTAACGAGAAATTTGAATATTTAACGTTTATATATATATATATATATATATATATTTATACAAATAAATAGCTTGAAGCATACATACAGATTTTCTTTGCTTGTCACTTTTGCAATATGTGAGGTTTTAATAGAATCTATTCGCATAGTGCTTTCACGTTTGACACTGGGCACAGGAGGTGGCGGCGAAGGAGATTCTTGTCTCCGTGGTGCATATCGCTTTCTTGTGAACATTCGTTTTTCTGATTTTGTCACATTTTTGTGATGATGATGTCTTAATGCGCTGCGAACTGGAGATTCTGCGGCAGATAATAGACGCGTAGATGTCGCAACAGCGAGCTTGTTGAAAGACTTTTGATGAATTCTTTCGGTTTCGCCACGCGATATGTTCGCACTTCGGGGTCGCGCGACCATAGACTCTGCGACATTTTTCTCTGCCGCGACATGGCGGCGACATCGCTGCCA